AATTATATGTAGATTATGCATTTAATTGTTTACTTATTTAATATGTTTACATATTTATATGTGTACAAATATATATTTATTATCATTTCATTATTGATATTTTGTTTTGAAAAAATCAGCAATTTTATATATTTTCTGTTATTAATAGGTCAGATGCTATACAATAGATGACAAAATGTTTTGTATAGGCATTTCCCATAGATTACGCTCATCATACAAAATTATTTCCAAATATCTTCCATGTCCTTCCCTGAATACTTTGAACAAAGAATTACAAAATATTCCTTTAGATACTGGGTACAACAAAATCATGTACCAATATTTACATTTAGCCGCAAGAGAAATTGACCCAAAAGATTTAAACGTAATTATAATTTGGGATGAAATGTCATTACAACCAGCCATTTTTTTACAATAAAAGAAGCAATAAAATAATCGGATTTGAAGATTGGGGGATGAGAAGAACCAACAAATTTGCAGACCATACAATTCTATTTTATATTAGATGTCTTGCATCTGGCAACCGTATGCCTCTCGGCTATGGATTCTGTAATAGTACAACTCGCACCATTCAGCTTGTTAGATGCATAAAACAATGGATAAGTTTTGTTATAATGTGGATTCAGACCAGTAGCGACTGTATGTGACCTAACATAGTAGCAATTAATTTGTCAAAGAAAGCAATGATATACGATGTATAAACAGCATCAAAATTCCAGTAAGTAAGGTGCGCTTTATATTAAATTTTATTAATTTCTTCAATTATAACAGTAATATTGTTTTGTATCACAATTTATGATATTGTTTTATATAACTATTTGTGTAATATAATATATATTAATAAGACTCCATTTATTTATAGAAAATATATTTCTTGTGGAAAATAAAGAAATTATCCCCCTTTATGATTACGTACATTTACAAAAAAGAATACGCAATAATTTATTAACAAAAGATCTGATTATAAACAAATATAAGAAAGAATCACAAAAACAGTTTGCATCATGGAATGATATTATTTTTACATATAACATAGATAAATATTCCTTGTTAAGACAACGACAAATGCCAAAATTGACCGACAGACATATTTTTACACATTTTATACCAAAAATAAAGTAAGATATGCTACACAAATATTGAGCCACACAGTAATAAATTTTATGGACATTATACTGACGTTAAATAAAGGTAAAATGCAATAATTATTAAAAAATAATGGTAATTATGTTTATTTCAATTACGTATATAACAGATTAAATATTTAAATATATTTTTCCATTATAGGTATTGTAAAACTACAAAAGGAACTATACATATATTTACTACCTAGTGCTATGACAACGTCAGAAGCGATTTTATTTTTTGATAATTTATTTGATTCTTTCAACAGAAAAGAAGGAAGAAAAAATATACTCAAGTATTATTATTTCATCAAGTAACCATTTAGCATTTTGGCAAGACGCTGTTTGCACCCTACGCAAAATGGACTTTGTAGAAAGTAAAACTCATAAATATGTTCGGCATAAGTTCAAATGTCTTGTAAACTGGATATAGACTATTGAAGGTGCCAAATATCTTTGGGATATTCTTAAAAAATATGACTTTTCCTCATTAAATTTACGATACATCAATCAGGATCCAGTCGAAAACTGTTTTAGTCAAATACGCGATCACGGACACAGAAATAATTACCCGTCCCCTTACCAATTTTGTGCTGCATTTAAAACACTTGTAACAAATAATTTTACATCTAAGTATTCCATTTCTTCAAATTGCAAAAAAGATTATGAAGGTAAATCATTATCACTCGAAAGAATGATTTCAACAACTGAAAGTATTAAATTGAGTGAGGAACAAAATAAAAAAACAGATTGTACAGAAACTTCAATATCGTTATCAACAATATTCAATACATTTATTGATGCAGAAAAATTTATTAATATTTTAATAGATAAAATTGCGATGAAATATACAAAGTGTATACAATGCCTTCAAAATGAAAATACTTTGAACATTATACAATACGCACTACAAATTGCAGAATTGCAATTTATGAATTTCTGCCATGAAGTAAAGAAGAAGTCACAGAGAAGTTAAAAAGTATTTTATATTTGGAAGCATTTGTAAAAATTTCAATACATTGTGCTGCACAGCAAGATTCTTTAATAAATGAAACTGCACAACAATTTATCAACTAATGGTGCAAATATGTTAATAGAATATTAAATGGAACATTGGACGATATCAGTACAAATAATTATATTTACAATGAAGCTAAAAAAATGTCAACAAAATTTAAAAAACAAAAATTAAAAGTAAAAAAATAAGTACTTTAAATATATAAAAGGATAGATTATTTGACGATTTATAAGTATTTTTAGATTTTTCTAATTACATCTTTTATATGTTATTTTGCTTTTTCATATGCATCATTCTCAGTGTTTTGTGAAAGAGATCCTGAAGCACATATTCACAGTTCCTGAAAGCGATGAGAAGACAAGACAATGTATAAAGGCATATTAATACACGTTTATCAAAGCGTTCATTACAGGAACTTAAAAACTTTAGAGACGATTGATTATATGAGCTTCATAAGATACCTAATCAGTATATCGGTAATTATAATAATAATAGATTTGCAAGGCTCAATCACATAACATAAAAAAATATTATGTTTCTTTTTCTTTATAGGTCTCTAAAACTTATTTTCTGGCAACCTTAACAACAATATTACAACACATGATGTCAACGATTTATATTATTTTTTTTTTTACAGTTACTAAGTTAAAATATAAACTATATTTTTTCTATTTTTGTACATATTAAAATATATATTGTAAGAATTTAACTTCTCACAGTGTTTCCTCTTTTCACCTTTATTACTTTAACATTTATTATTTATTTAGAGCATATTATGCTTTAAAGCATAATAGATATAATAAATAAAGTATATGTATATATGCGTGTATATGATATGTGGAATATATACACATATATGCATACATACACATACATACAGCACATATATACAGAGTGTCCCGCATAAGACGTACGAAAAGAAAAATATAAGTAGAATATATAAACGTGGGACACCCTGTATATAGACAGCCGCCATATTATATGATTATTAGTTCCACTTTGCTGCCTGTCATGGAGTGAAAGCGCCACAAACGCTAGCCCACTTGAAATGCATGGGAGATTAGAACCCATAGTTAGGACATAGTATACCGCTTTGGGATCGAAATTATCGAGGGAGGATTTGCGAAAATTTGGAGCGTGCGTTTGCGACAATCTTCGGTTCCTAGCGGTTTATGAGACATGAGAAAGTTAGAAATTATTTTTCTTATGAAACATTCATATATATTGTAACAGCCGCACGTCTCGTGTCGGTTGTTGGTCGTGTAGCCGGGAATATCGCTCGTCGGAGTCCGGGATCGTTGAGTGATTGACACCAGCAAGTAATAATAAATAACAATTTATTAGAAGTTTAATATATAGAATAACGATGTGAACCGCGTGTATGTCGGCGCGGGGCGACAGCAGAGGTCGGGTCTCGTTTTCGCTCGTCTGGGTCTCGCGATTCGGTAGTCGGGGCGAATAGCGTGAAGACGGCAGGTCGCGAGAGATAAGTCGCGCGGAATCCGTGAATCGCGGTGCGAACAGATTGGTAACCGCGGGGGCCCGGCGGTACTCTCGATGTTTGCGTGTCGCAGCACGCAGCGCGATATATTGGGCGGCTCGCGTATCGCCGCGACGAATCGGGCAAATATCGACAACGTTCGATCGGGCGCAGCGAACTGGCTCGGAAACTTGCACGTGGAGTCGGGATACGATCGGTACCGAGAAGGCTCGATCGGGTTCGCGAACACACGAACTCGTAGGCCGGTCGTTGGATCCTGATAGGAAGGCGAAGTCGCTTAACGGAGATAGCGAACACACAATCTCCTGGAGCCGGTTTCGCCTGTACGGTTTCGGAGATTGACGGGAAGGTAGAAATGATACGATCGGATTCCTTGCTCTCCGCTCTGAAGCATCGAGTTCGGTCGGCGATCCGGATCGGTCTCCTCGCTTATTTTTCGGCCACGGTTTATATACCGTCTCTTTACATTTGACGTCGTTGTTGACGTTCCGTGACTTATGCTAGGCGTGGCGCATGTTTATGTTTGGTTTTATTTGTTTGGCGCTTAGCGCCGTTTACAGCCGATGGATGTTGTGTCGGCTGTGTTAGGGACGATGCGTGTAAGGCATCGTCACATCACCCCCTCGGTTTAGTTGGGCTGGTCTGGTAGTCTCTGGCTGGCTCGTAGCTGTCCTTCATTGTTGAACCGCAGCATTTATCGTCCCTGTGGCAGTCTTAGTCTGTATCGTCTGGATACGGCAAAATGTGGTATGTCGGCTACTAATCCCGGTTGCACCTCCACTCGAATCGGCGGTGGTAGGGACGGGCCGATCGCACGAAGCGGTTCCGGTCGGTGTGCGATCGGTGTCCCCTGGTCGGTCGGTCGTGTGGTGTGCCCCTTTGGTTTTTCGTCTATTGCTGCGCTTGCTGTTGGTGTTGCTGGTGGTGTTGCTGGTGGCGTCGTCGGCAGCTTATTCCTCGGCCTCGACTGCTCAGCCTTTACTGTGCCGCTGGCACGTCCTCGGCGCCCGGATGGTGGGGGCAACAGAGCCGTAAGCATAATTATCTTACGGCGTTGCTCTCTGTCGGAGCGTTGGATGCGTGTTCCTGGTGCCGGAACTCTTCTATTCTGCATCCTTGGTATTATCGGCGGTAGTATAGCCGGCGGTGTCGGCGGTGGAGTTGGAGCCGACGGTTTTGGTGGTGGTGTTGTAGCCACCACGTCCTCGTCATCCGAGGAGAGCGCGAGATCCGACCAGAGGACCTCGGCTCCCGGGATTGCGTACCAATTGTTTGGCTGCGCCATCGTTTGCAAAAATTTCTCTTTGCTCGAAGCAAATGAGAAAAGAAATGTGCTGCTTCTGTCGGTACTCCTCTTTTATACTCCTTTTCCCTGTTCTGTCTCCTCGTCCTTTCCTCCGTTGTTGTTATTGTTTGTCGGTTTTAGATCCTGTATGTGTATGTTCTTGTACCATTTCCCTTGTTTATTTTTCAGGTGTACTATGACTGGAGATATTATCTTCTTCACCTCCAGCGGTCCTACGTATCTCGGTGCTAGTTTTGCATTAAATGCTTTAGTCTTGTTGGACAGAGGGTATTCCTTTTTCCACACTTCCTCGCCGATTTTTGGTTTCCAGTCTCGTCGCCGCAGATTATAATGTTTCTCTTGACACTGGAATGCTCTCGCCAAATTAATTTTTACCACCTCGTAAGCCTCCTTGAGGTGTCGGATTCAGCTTGTTGTTTCTTCCGCTCCTGCGCTTTCGGGGTATGTATATATCTCTCGGCCATATATCAAATAGGCAGGTGAATACCCTGTTGATTCCTGTATGGCCGTATTGTATGTGAATTGTAGCTCTACCAGGTGTGCATCCCACTTTCGATGGTTTTGTTCCAACATATTGCGACACCATGGTCTTTACTACTCTGTTTGTTCTTTCGACCGGATTACAGTGGGGGGCGTGTATTGGTGTGATCCTGTGGTGGATCCTGAACGATTCCAGGGTTTTCCTTAATTGTTGTGACGTGAGTTGCTTCCAATTGTCTAAGACTAGTGTTCGGGAGCACCCGTGTCGGTAAATAATGTTTTCGGTCAGAGCTTGTGTGACTGCGTTTGCCGTGGCTTTCCGTAGCGGGCGCATTTCTAACCATTTCGAAAAGCGATCTTGCATCATTAGTACCCATGTATTGCCGTTTGTCGATCTCGGCAGGGGGCCTATTAGATCCATCGTTACTTGCTGCCATGGTCCCTCCACCGCTGTCGCATGCATGAGTCCCGCGGGTTTTTCTTGATGGGCCTTATGTGCTATTTCTCGCACATTCGTACGTATTTCGCAATATCGCGGAACATTCCGGGCCAGTAAAATTGTCTGGCTATGCGCGCGATCGTTTTTGCTATCCCCAGGTGGCCTGCGGTCGGTTCATCGTGGTACTTTCTTAATATTCCTTGTCTATTTTCCCTTGGTACGCATATTTTCCATTGTTCTTCCGCCCTTATTTCTTTGAAATTTAACTCGTGGAGAATGTGTTTCATTAACTTCCCCTCCCGTATTTCATAATTCGGGTACATTGGCCGGATCGCTGGCCACCTGGTTCATAATTTTTTGATACCATCCGCAGGTTGGTTCGTTTGTGATGCTGCATATTTGCGGTTATCTGGACAGAGCGTCCGCGACCGTATTGAGACTGCCTCGCCTGTACTGTATATCGAAATCGAATTGTTGGAGCTCAATTATCCAACGTGCTAGTCTACCCGTGGGCGCCTCCACTTTCTGTAGCCACCGGAGGGATTGGTGGTCCGTGATCACCGTGAACTTGTATCCCTCCAGATAATCGCGGAGGCGCCTTATCCCCCAGACTACGGCGAGGCACTCTAATTCGGTCGCGCTATAGTTCCGCTCGGCTTTGTCCAATGTCCGGCTGGCGTATGCTATTACTTTTTCCTCCCCTCCTATATTTTGTGTTACACGGCCCCGAGCCCCTCTGTGCTTGCATCTGTCTGGACGATAAATTTTTGTGAGAAATCGGAACACGCGAGTATCGGCGTCGAGATCAACATCTTTTTTAATTTTTGAAATGCTATTTCCTGCTTTTCTTCCCAATTCCATTTCGCATTTTTACACAACATTTTCGTAAGGGGGGCTGCTACTTCCGAAAATTTTGGTATGAAACGCCTATATCATGACGCTAACCATAAGAATTGTCTGACTCTTTTTATTGTGTTTGGCTTTGGCCAGTCGCGTATGGCGCTTACTTTCTCAGGGTCCGTTTGGATTCCTCTACTATTTATTACATGTCCTAAGTATTTCAACTCCTTCCTGCAAAACCGGCATTTTTTTACATTTATTTTTAATTTGGCTTCCCGTAGTCTTTTAAAAACCTCTTTTAACTGCGTCAGGTGCTCCTTAAACGTTTTACTAATGATAATTATATCGTCCAGGTATACTAATACTCTAGGCTCTAGCTCGGGGCCGATTATGCTATCTACCAGTCTTTGGAATGTAGCTGGTGCCGAATGGAGGCCGAACGGCATTACCTTAAATTGGAAAAGCCCCTTCCCTGGTACCGTAAATGCTGTCAACGGTCGGCTTGCTGGCGTTAGTGGGATTTGCCAGTACCCACTTTTCAAATCGATGGTGGATAAATATCGAGCCTCCCGGAGCTTGTCTAATGTTGCCGAGATATGTGGTAGTGGATATGCGTCTTTTTCCGTGACGTTATTTACTTTCCTAAAATCTATGCAGAATCTGCGTGACCCGTCCTTCTTTTTTACCACTACTACTGGCGAACTCCATGCGCTTCTTGAGGGCTCAATTATTCTTTCCTGTAGTATGTCTTCCACCTCCTGATTAATTATCGTCTGCATAGCCGGGTTTCGGGGTCGGTATCGTTGTTTAATCGGTCTTTTGTCTGTTAATGTTATATGGTGTTGTATTCTGTCTGTCGGTCCCTGTATTCTGTCAAACACCTGTAATTCCTCTGTTAAAAATTGTCTTAGTTGCTCCTCTTCCCGTTCCGATCGTTTCGTCATTCCGTCTTCGATTTTGTATAAATCCGGTATTTCTCTTGCCGTTGTATGTGGTGATGGCGGTAGTGTAATCTGTAGGTCCATATGTCCGTTCCTATTATTATAGGACTTCCCAAGTTCGGTAGTACTTTTAACTGTCTTCTGTATTTTTGTCTGTTTGTTTGTATAGTCGCTGTTACCGTTCCGAGTATTTCAGTTTTCGTCCCGTTTGCTAGCCGTACATTGTCTTTCGTTCGTTTTATCTCTAATTTTAGTTTATGTGCTATCTCTGGTCTAATAAAGAACGCTTCCGACCCCGAGTCAATCAGTGCTCGGATTTTTTGTCCATTTACGTTTATTATTGTAAATGGTCTTGGCGTATATTTTATACAGTGGGCCGAGCCTCTCTCGGGGGCTCGACCCGCCTGGCGTTTCCCGACGGCGGGTGGCAATCTTTGGTGAGGACGCCGTCTTTGCCGCACTGTGAGCAGAATTTCCGCGGTGTTTGTCTACATTCGAACCGATTATGCCCTCTTTGCTTACACCGCCAGCAACACTTGTCCTTATTATAGGTGGCAGCTGTTGCTGGTGGTCGTCCCGTTCGCAGTTCGTATTTTGCCTTGTTTCTTTCTTTAATTTGTTGTTCTAGGCTCTCCAATTCAGTAACTCTCTCGCGTAATTCTGTTACTGTTCCCACCTCTTCTATTTTTACAAATTTTTTCCACTCCGGCAGCATGTTTTCATATAGAAGGTCGAGCTGTTCCCCAGTCGTCCATCCCCCTGCTCTGCGCATTAATTTGAGAATATCATTGGCGTAACTAAGGAACGGCTCGTTCTCCCTCTGTTCCCTTCTTCGTGCTTGGCGTCGCATTTGCGCCTGGAATTGTCGCGGTATATACTCTCTTTTAAAATCTGTTCGGAAGTCCCCCCATATGTTCCACGCGTCCCGACTATTACGGTACCATGTTAGGGCTTCTCCTCTTAGCATTTCCGGTAATCCCCGTAGTAAGTATTCGCCCGGGTATCCATATGCCTGGTTCAACTCCTCCACTTGTTCCAGAAATGCGTGTGGGTCACGTCCATCAAAGTGGCACCCCCATTTTCTAATTTGATTCATTATCTTGTTTATAGGTTCTGTTAATTCTATGGACGACGTGGATTCGTCTTACTTTGGCATTGTGGTCCCGTTTTGCATATTCTGTTTTGTCGTTCTCGGATTTTTTCTTAAGAATTGCACTAACCGTGTTCGCAATTCGTCGAGTGAGCCTTCGGTTTCTATATTTTGTTCACGTAGCTGTTCTGTAATTTGATCTTTTGATAATCTATAGACCCACGTTGTCATTTGTGTGTTATTGCTTGCTTGTGTCAGATCGCTAGTTAAACTGTTCGGGCGCCAATGTAACAGCCGCACGTTTCGTGTCGGTTGTTGGTCGTGTAGCCGGGAATATCGCTCGTCGGAGCCCGGGATCGTTGAATGATTGACACCAGCAAGTAATAATAAATAACAATTTATTAGAAGTTTAATATACAGAACAACGATGTGAACCGCGTGTATGTCGGCGCGGGGCAGCAGCAGTGGTCGGGTCTCGTTTTCGCTCGTCTGGGTCTCGCGATTCGGTAGGCAGGCCGAATAGCGTGAAGACGGCAGGTCGCGAGAGATAAGTCGCGCGGGATCCGCGAATCGCGGTGCGAACAGATTGGTGGCCGCGGGGTCCAGGCGATACTCTCGGTGTTTGCGTGTCGCAGCACGTAGCGCGATATATCGGGCGGCTCGCGTATCGCCGCGACGAATCGGGCAAGTATCAACAACGTTCGATTGGGCGCAGTGAACACACTGGCTCGAAAACTTGCACGTGGATACGATCGGTACCGAGAAGGCTCGATCGGGTTCGCGAACACACGAACTCGTAGGCCGGTCGTTGGATCCTGATAGGAAGGCGAAGTCGGTGTCAAGAGCGCTTGACGGAGATAGCAAACACACAATCTCCTGGAGCCGGTCTCGACTGTACGGTTTCGGAGGTTGACGGGAAGGTAGAAACGATACGGTCGGATTCCTTGCTCTCCGCTCTGAAGCATCGAGTTCGGTCGGCGATCCGGATCGGTCTCCTCGCTTATTTCTCGGCCACGGTTTATATACCGTCTCTTTACATTTGACGTCGTTGTTGACGTTCCGTGACTTATGCTAGGCGTGGCGCATGTTTATGTTTGGTTTTATTTGTTTGGCGCTTAGCGCCGTTTACAGCCGACGGATGTTGTGTCGGCTGTGTTAGGGACGATGCGTGTAAGGCATCGTCACAATATATACAGGGTGTTCAAAAAGTCCCGGACCGGTGAAATATCTCGAAAACTAAGCATTTTAGAAAAAAATGTTTCAGATAAAAGTTGTGGCGTTTAAAAAGATGTATTTACTGATCACATCAGTTTGACCTTGGGTTGCGTAGCGAAGGTCAGGTCAAGGTCACATTAATTTTTTTAAATGGAACACCCACTTTTCATTACATATTCTTATAGCACATCTCGAGAGCTTTCCAAAACGCTATA